TATGTATGTATATATATGTGTGTGTGTGTGTGTGTGTGTGTGTGTGTGTGTGTAGCCACTTGGTAGCCACAAAGGAAAGATGCCATTCTTGCTTAATGTCTTATTACCTCCCACTTATTAATAGTCACTTTTTATCATTTCATCAGAAAACATGGCGGAAAATGTGGATGGTGCTTTATAAACCCAGCTCTCAGGGGGTTGGCCGATTGGAGTTCTATGCTCTAGCTGACAGCAGCTGTGTTACCGAGCAGAAAAGGATGGGCCGGCAGAAAACACCAGAAAGAAAAGTCGTGCGTCTAATTGACTGTCTCAGTGTCACGTTTGCACCAAAGGAGTCTTGCCCGGCTGGCTGCACAGCCTTCTACCTAAACACCACACAGTCAACCTACATCTTAGCCTCCACATCAAGCCAGGACTGGGTGAATGCCCTCTGTCATCTAGCCTTCCAGGTATCACACATCTCCAATCCTGAACAGTACAAATATGACCTTTCCTTTTATGTCACTGGTTAGGTTTTAATTTTTGGGAAAGGTCAGTAAGGACAGACTCTGCCCACATCCAGAGACAAGTAGCATAATAAGGAAGTTAATGCAGTATCTGTAACTTCTGTCCCTTTTACTTCTCTAATTCTTGTGCTTGCACAAGCTATGTACCTTCTTGCATCTTACCACTTTAAAGCCATAAAACAGTGATAAGAGGTACTTGTACACTCCATGTAATGTTTACCATGCCACTGTTTACAGAAGGATCCTGGAGAATCAGACAAAGGGGATTTTGAGCAAGATAATGGCTTGACCATGGCGGACAATGATCTCTACGCATCTTGGAAAAGCGGTAATGCAAGCACGTCTACACATGATAAGGGATCAGGCACAAGAAATCGAAAACAAATAAAAATGTGCAGGTCTTATTTCTGTAGCTTGTCTATTCGTCCTACACACACCTGTTGAACTCTGTGTACTGGTTAATAAGAGAGTGCGTGAAAACTACTAGTCTTAGAAGATGAGGTAAGAAAAAGGGGAAGGTTGGTGTAATTTTTCCCCCGAATATACAAGGAACTATTTTAGACTTTTCTTTATTTTACTAATTTACTATTCACACCCAGGTTGGAAGAGCCAGTGTGGCTATTTACATCCAGGAGCATGGCACAGAGAAGCAATCAGGTGTCCATAGTAATGTTATTTGCACACAGGAACACGTTGCCAGAATTTCTGATACAAGTAATATTACCTCAAGGTTATTGTTGTGAAAGGGTCTATTTTAATTAAAATAACACACCTATGCCACTTTATCACATGTTTTGAGAAACCTAGTTTCAAAGTCAGGATATAATAGCTAAAAATTACATTTGTTGCTATTACTTCCAAATTCCCCAATAATAAGCATAACTATAGAGCTAAAAGTATGGTGTTTGACTCCTTCGTCAACGCCAACCTCCAGCAATCAGCTTGCATTTTACTGGTGTTTCATTTTAGCCCATTTTTGCTACACTGCTAATAGATTTGAAAAGTTACATTACAAAAATACTTCAACTTACTCCCCAGTTATAAATATGGCCAGCCGTTTCTTTATCAGGGTTTTATTGCGGTGTACTAGCTCACATTAAACTTTCAAAGGCTTTAATGAGCTTACAAAACTTAACGACCTGTGCCACTTTATCGCATGTTTTGAGGAAGGTACTTGCAGGGTTGGGGTTTTTTTTTTGTTTGTTTTGTTTTTAAGCAGGAAGTGATATAAATGAAAAGATAAACAACCCCTGCGAGGGTAGTTATGTTCTAAAAATAATGAATACGTTTGCGTCCCCCCCACCAAGTTCAGCATCACTGTACAGCCCTCAAATATACGTCAGACAGGTTAAGAAATGCACCACAAGGGTTCATCGTAAGCAAAACCACAGCTTAAGACCAACTTCCTGTTTCAAAGGCAGCCCGCTTTACCCAGTGTTTTTGCCTCCCACAGATTTTATAAGCACTAACGATAGATCACCTTCAAACAAATCCTTTAACAGTCTGTCTGACTCTCTGATCAGTGACGTTTCTTCCGGTTTCCAACACTGTAGCAAAATTACTCAGCTGACGTCAGCAGGTAACTTGGTGACTGAAGTGCTTCCACAACCAAAGGGTATAATGGGCGATAATTTGATTTATTATTATTACTTGTAAATTCCCCATTAATAAGCCTAAACCTGTGAGTATATTATAATAAAAAAGAGATATTTCAGTAGGATAAGCAGAGAAGAAAATGGATGGAAATATTTCACAGCATCATAAATTCAAGACATCAGCAGAAATCCCCTATATATATGGGAGCGGGCGCTACAGCCGCTAATTTATTCAAACATGAAAGCCAGAATGTATCAGCGTCAGCAAGCTCTGACTTATACAAATGCATTTCTCTTCATTTCCTAATGGGTTACACTTCTCAACAATCCAGAAAAGCCAGCCTCACAGAGAGATTAGTAGAAGGCAAGCAATTTTAAATCAGATTTTTCAAAATTAAAAAGTATTTGGTGTGCATTTATTTCCTGTGCTGCTCAGACCTCTTGTGGGGGGGAAAAAAACCCCAACCCTTTGTGTGTAGTTGCGAAACACTAACCCTTGTGTGATGTCATGTGTTCCTGTCTTTAGAGCTGACGCTTCCTCCAAACCAGTACCAAGTAACCATCCAGAGCACAGAGGCATCCAAGAGGTGCAAGCTGTCTGGGAAGTACCTGGTCTCCATAGAAGGGGAGGCAATAGAGCTGCTGGACATGAGAACTCGTTACATCATCTTCGACTGGCCATACAAGCTCCTCCGCAAATTTGGTCAGATTGAGGTAAAGCACTAGATGTTGTGCAGTCCCTATGCTGATGATAAACCAGGTATTCCAGTGGGTTTATTTAGAATTTCTCAAAGGGAAAAGCTTTGTAAAACACACTCATTGACTTTTGTGCCAAGAGTTGGAAGAAAAAAATTACTACCACTCTGTTTGTACTCTAAATATGAAGCGACAGCCAGCAGCTTGTTAGCCCAGAAACGGAGGAAAACAGCTACTCTGGCTTTGTTCAAAGGCAGCAAAATCTCTAAAGCTCACTAATTAACATGCTGCTACTCGTTTGTTTATTCTGCTGCAAAAAAAAAAAATTAAATTCAAAGCTGAAGTATTGCATATTTTATAAAATGGCAAATGTATTTCCTAACATGAGGATCTTTGGCTGTGATTGCAGGGGGGATTCAGCATCGAAGCAGGCCGTCGCTGCAAGTCGGGACAAGGCGTGTTCATGTTTCTGACCCAGCATGGTCCCCAGATCTTTCAGACTATATCTAAGCAGTGCACAGTGGAGAGGAATACAGCAGTGCAGCCTCCCAGTGCCAACAGAAGATCACTAATTGACCCGTTTCCTGCTCCCCCGCCTGCCACAGCTCACTCTTTCGTCGACCCTTCCATCTACAGTTTTCCAGATGTTTCAGCCGACACAGAGGACAAGTTTACCGGCGATTACCCCATTTATGACGACCCTGTGCAGCAGATAAAACAGCTATCACTCAAGCCTCCTCTCTTGGGCAGCAACGAGGCTGTGGCAGAGGAATCTGAGGATGAGGATGAGCAGGAATGGTGCTATTCCCTGGAGGCTCTAAATCTGGATAACAATATTGAGGACAGCATTTACTGCAACTTACCGAGAGGCACGCCTCCTTTGATGAGAAAAGCCGAGGCAGATAATTCAGATTGCATTTATTCAGGGATAAAAAAAGTCAATTCTCTGACAAATCTTCAGCAGGAGCCTTCCTATCCCCCCTTACCATTGCCTGTACCCCCACCTCCTCCCTTATCATCCGCTTACTCCTTAGCCAAACCCCAAAACCAGCATGCGCTCCCTGTGAATAACTCCTTCCAGCCAGAATACAATACACAAGCAGACTACGATGAAGACGATTTGAATGAGACTGAGGAGGCCAATAGCTCCTCTGCTCAAGTTACCCCCTCAGAGGTGCCTGGCAGTTTTAAACACAGGCTGGCAGAAATCATTTCTAAGGACTTGGCAAAGTTCCAGCCTCCTCTTCCCTACGGAGCAAGCAGCCTCACATTTTCTCAGTAGACTATCAGTTAACAGACAGACTAGACAGGACAATTTTATCTGTGATAAATTGTCATAAAACACAATTAGTTTCTTTACTTCTATAAAATCCCCTCCACTGGGAACATGCAGTTAGGCATTCTGGCTCACAAGTGTTTGATTGTTTTTGCAGCTTGTTATATGAAAGATGCATCTGGAATACTTTTTAATCTGCAAATGCTGTTGCCAAAAAGAGAGATTTATTTTGTTTTCTTCTGCGGGAATGCTAGGCGAATACCTTTAATGTGACATTAACTGAGAAGGTGGGCGAGCATTTGCCCGCACCGTTTCATAATGGGAAAGCTGGGAGAGAAAACAAACGACCTCGCCTTGTTATGTTTGATGCGCTACACATCATCTTCATTATCATCCTCTCTGGAATCAGTTTGGTTTCTTAAGCAGAGTCAGGAGGGATTTGTCACATCAACTGTCAGTATCTGTAAAACAGAGTGGAAAAACCAATAACCCACATTGTGTTTTGCTGTAATTACTGCATGTGTTTGCTGACAATATCCATATAAAAACCACTTAAAAAGCACACTCTTATGTTAAGTATATCTTTATTGTACCAAAAGAGCCATCATAAAATACGCTATACATAAATAGAAAAATACTTGTTTATTGTTTTTGTTTGTTTTATTTGACAAATGTCACTAATGAAACTGGAAATGTGTCTAGTAATGGTTCAGAGTATAAAGTGCATAAAAAGGGCCTGCAAGAGTCCATCACATCCAAGCAGGTTTTTCTGAGTTTTACCTGTACTTTTACCTGTACAGGTAGTGCAGAATCTCAACTATTATTAAAAACAGGACTTTATGCTGTGAGAGCGTCTCTGCTGGTCAGCTGATATCTTCTGCCTTGCAAAGAGCTCCAAACAAGTTAAAAGTCAGTGGCACTGACTTTCTGCCAATGTTTCCCGCTTTGACCCTCCTCTGCGTCACTGAGATGTGAATATTCCCCATCGCTGCTGCTGGAACAAGTGCCTGATTTATTTGATTCCATGTCAGATGTAGGTCCAAGTAAAATCAGATGACCGATAGATGCGGAGGGGTCTCGCTGCTCTCCGGTCAGAGGTTTCGGAGACTGTGCAGAGTGAATCAGGCTCCTCCTGGAGGTCTTGTCTCCAGAGCCTGGACGAGGACTCCTGCACTCTGGGTGAACCACGCCGGCCAGGAGCTCAGACAGCTCTGTGATGTAAATCTGCGCCATCTGGAGGGTGTCGTATTTGGATAACTTTTTCTCGTTTTCCAGGGAGGGGATGACACTCCTGAGCTCGTCAAACGCTTTGTTCAACCCGTGCATCCTCCTCCTCTCCCTGGCGTTGGCCGCCACGCGCCTGTGTCTCTGAGGGCCGAAGTGGCTCGTCTTGCATCCATCTGGCGCCTTAGCAGGGTCTGTCTCTGTCATGCCTTTGGTGGTAACGCGGTCAGTGAATTCGGTCACTGGCACAAGTTTCTCCCGCGAGATGCCCGCTGCCTCTGCAGCCGCGTGCGCGTCCCTAATTGAGAGCGCACGGATTGAAGTGGAGGAAATCCAGGCTTTGGAGCTGATGTGGGCCAGGTTGTGCTGCTGCTGGTGATGCTGCTGCAGCAGAGTGAAGTCCTCTGGGTACTCCGACCAGCTCGAAAGTTCTGCTTTTGCAGCCATCACTGCAGTGTCCTGATGTGGTCGTGCACGGCAGGATATAAAGGTCGCACTTTCGCTTCAGCCGGTGCCAGAGTCTCTGGAGTGGTTTGCGCTGCGCCTACAATTTATACAGCCTCCCCTGTAGTCACCTTGGTGTCACTCCCAGCCCGCAAACAGCCCTGACAGCACTGTAGCCTCAGGAGGCAGCAGCCAATCGCACAATCCCCTCTGACCCTGTCTGTCAAAGAACAATTAGACAAAGCTCGACTTTTTCTCCTATTGTGCATTGTAACTCAATCACGACCTTGTTATCCCTAAAAGGAGACGAGTATTAATCATTTAAGAGCGTGCAATAGCCGACCTATGCTCTACCTAACGAAGCTCACCCTACTCATGAATGAAAATGTATAGAGAATGAATGATTATGTAATAAATTAAGTTATAGTCTATATTATGTGTCTATATTAATAAACGCGAGCTTGTATGGGAAAAAGTTTGTCTTCTTTTTAATTACACAAGTGTGTTAGTCATATTTCTATAGTAAGTATGTGTTTTTCTATAAAGTCATCATCATCCTTTCCATGGAAAATGCATTTCGGCCTCTTTCTCACGAGCGCAGTAACCGACTCGTGATTGGTTCTGACCCGCTGAGAGCTGTGGTTGTGGAAAACAAACGTCCAAGTTTGTTCTCAAACAAACAGTAAAAGGCGCCCAATCATTCATTATTTGCAGAAGAATAATAAAACTAACAGGTGTGAGACAAGGATCGAGACACACCTATAGCTGAGGCGCAATAACTGATAAGTTGTCTGAAGGCGATTTATGAACCATTAAGAAAAGTTGGAAAGAAAAGAAAAACACTCCGTCATTTATTATTTATTGCTGTTATTTTTTGCCGTTGTTGTCGTTACAAGATTAAGATTTTTCCCCTTTCAGACCCAGCCTCGAAGGAAGAAGATAAATTAGGCTACAAATTTTTGCTCAGGGTCACGTGGCCCCTGGCCTGTGCCTATCAGCTGGTGTCCCTTGGCACCGCTCACAAGCCACGCACCTCCGAGACGGTGTCACCCACGTCTCCCATATGCTGCCCACGGCGCTCACTGAGCTCTGACTCTGACATGAGAGCTAATCATTCATTAGGGCATCAATTACGGCGGAGAAACAACTTCAGCACCGGTGACGGACCTGTCCGCTGAGAGATCTGAGATGTTGTAGTGAGGAGTGACTGGGACAAATTTTGCATTCAGCGATCTCTCTCTCTCTCTCTTTCGGGGTCGAGTAGTAGTGAAGAAAATCACCGTGACCTGCCCCGCCGCCAGCAGTTTAATGAGGCCTGGTCTTACTTGAATAAATCGGCACGTTCTTCGTCCCGGGATGTCCATTCTTTTTTTCTTCTATTTAAAGAGGGCTGGGGGGGCTACATGAATATTTCATTCCTTTAGCCCCAGTGCCAGCGCAACAGCCCGCAACCCTGCGTGCAGGCTTTAAAAAAATGCAGCTACACTTCCCATCTGGTGCGGGGCGTGAGGGGGGGAGTGGCAGTGGAGGCCGAGGAGGTGTGAGGAACATTTCTAAGGTCAACTTGCAGCGACCTTCTGTAGGAGACAGGCGAGAATGAAGGGAGGGGGGCCTTACTTTATCTTTACTTGAATGCGTTCTTCTTGAGTGGTGTTAGGCCACTGTACATCACTGTGACTAAATGATGCAATGACCCTGACTAAACTAAACAAATCAACTCTGTAACTGTTTCCTGCTGAAAATGCACAATGCAAAAAACATGAACCTCAAATTGCACAAAAGTGTTTTGCAAAAAATTCCTCAGCAATTTCACAATGCAGTTCATGGCCATTGTGGCTATTGCTGCTTTGTAGTGCTATGTTCCCATATCAAGTAAACACATGGCCAGTATTACCCATACCGATACCAACACCATTACTTTTAACCTGTAAAGCCAGTGTATGTAGGGGAGAGCAGTGTCATGTGTTATGAGATGACCATCGTGATTTTTAAAACACATCTGACCACATTCTAATGACCACTAATTCATCGTGATTTTTACTTTCCACAATACTTGATAAAACACACCTTTCAGCTTTTCGTGGATTTTAATACTGGGGTTTTTTGGAGACCTATCTCTATTCTACTAGTATCCACTTGACTCGGTTTGGTTGTTTTCCATTACAACTGAGTGTGCAATGTGACCGAAAGTTCCACAATGTCATTTTTATGTGACACAAACACAAAACAGCAATGGAGAATGACGAGGCGATGGTATAATGCTGCTTGGTCTATGGTTTTTGTCAGAATAAGGGGATCACGGTGTTCATTTTTTGTGTAGCCATTTCCCTCGTTGCCGGGTTTCAAAAGCGGTGGTTTTGTTTTTTCTGAGGCGGTTGCTCTTAACTTGTCAAGTGATGCTGTTGACTGCTCAATAGGTGGCATGCAATATGTTGATGGCGCATTTTTAGATTGACTCACTTTTCTCGGAACCCAGGCTGAGCAGGTACTAAACAAGTACTTGGTACCAGGTGCTACCACATAATGGAAAACTCTACAAACTGAGTTGAGTCAAGCCAAGTAGGTACTAGGGAAAAAGAGGCATGAATGTGTTTGTCTTTAAAGCACCTTTGGTCAGCTTTTTCTATTTAAAATGTGCTATAAACTACAACTAAAATAGACATGAAAGACAATAAAGAAAAATTTCACACATTTTTTATAGGGCATGCTTCAGGTGTTGTCATCATTTCCGAGAAAAATATTTAACACATTTAAGACATCATATTGAACTTAGAGGACAGAAATAAACATTGATCATGTTGCTATCCAACATCAATAGCGGAACAGGTATCGACGCTATCGATATTTGGATCTATCTGCGCACACTTATTGCTTTGCAAACAGTGAATAACAAACAAAGTTAGGTGGTGATGTAGCCCTGGTACATATCCCAGCGATTACTCCTTATCCTTGAATCATCCACAACCTAAACTCAACCAGCCAACCAACAGCAGATTCCACTTGAGTCAGCACATCTTTGTCACCTACAAGTTGTTACACTTGTAGGTGATTGCAAGTGGAAGGTACAAGTGCCCTTTGACCGGTTCGTGTTTGCTGGTAACTGAACTTTGTAAAGACTGGGGATTTTTTTAAATGTGTGGGTTATTCTTATAATGCTGACAAATAAGTCAAATGCCATAGTTAAAATTATTTACACTAATGGTGATATCACTGGGCATGCCCTCATCTTCTCAGTTGTTACTGTTGGGTGACTGTGACCCCGACCGATCTTTAAAACTATTTTTAAGGCTTTTTAAATGAGGTGTGAACCATATTTATATGTGAACTAAGTTCACATATAAATATAACTCTCTACTTTAACGATGCATTTTCTTGTTTCCTGGAAACAAATACAATAATACCTGGGTAGGTGACAATAAAGGAAATTAGATCTCTCTCTCTCTCTCTCTGTGCAAAAATAAACAAACCATTTACTAAAATGACAAAGTGCACTTCACCTCCCAACTATTTGCCTAACACACCAAATTACAGTAGAATTAGTATTACAGAATACCAGCAATTATCCGGAAATTATGACCCAACAAAGATAATAAAATAATAACCACAGTTCTGATTGTAATATGTTCTTAATAAACAAATAAATAACAACCAACACATATAAATGTGCTTTTGATGCATGCCTTTGAATTCCTGTTTACTATCCAGGCGTCCCCTTTGTTTTGCTCCACCCACTGAATCGCATCTAACCCTGTGTTGAGCGTGCTTTACGGTTGCCTAGCAACATGCAAACAGCCACACTAGTAAACTGTAGCTCAGCTGTTGGATTTCCTTCCTCGTCGCCAGCATTCAGTGGGGATGAATGCTCTATAAAGTGTGCCGCCGTTTCGCCTTGTGTTTTAATTAAAGACCTGTTAATTTCTGAACAAAAGACTGTTTCATTTTTTTTTCTCGTGCACCAGGAACAGTGAACCTCTTGATGTTCGGCGGAGGCTGGTCTGTAATTATCCTCTCACACCCCGAGCTACGGAGGTGGTTCTAGTGAGCAAAGAGAGAAACCGTAATGCCCGGGTTTCAGGCGCAAATTAGGACAATTAGTGGCCTCATTAATTTGGGAAAATGGAAGTAATATTCTAGTTAAAGTAACGGTTCATTAAGTCAGTGCTATCTGTGGCAAAAGGCTAATTGATGAACTCTGAGAAGGACAGTAATAATGAGAGAAGACTTTTTCTCCGTACAGTAGCACTATTAGGGCTTTGTGTTTAATACCTGCTAATTTAGGAACAATATACTTGAGTGGTCGCCCCTGTCATCGCGAGAAGACCTCAATTGTTCCTTATTGAATTGGAAGAAAATGTCGCGATACCTGAGACAAAGTCACTGCAGGGTGCGGTTTAAGTACGAGGTTTGGAGTCAGCCCTGCACCACTGATCACAGGTGTTACCGGATACCTTCCTGAAGACACGTGTCACGTGTTTTCTAGCCTACTTTGATTACTCATTTGCACACTTATTCTCATTCTGTAATCCTGTAGATCACACCGAAGCAGTAAAAAAAATTTTTATTTACTTCTTACACCATTAGAAGGTTTAGTGTCTAATTTGCTTTGGTACTGTCACTGAAATAGATGAGAGCAGTGGCTGAAAGTAATACCAAAAAAAACCTAAAAGACTAAATTACAAGATTATTTCTATATCACACCCACCCTACTAACCTATGATTATATCTCTCTATCTATATATATAGATAGATAGATATGACTGTGTGTGACTGTAACAAGCGTTAAAGTCAGTATTTGGTATGACTTCCTTTATTATTATTATCTTAATCAAGCTTTCTTGTATTTTCTTTAGGTTGTCTTCAGGAAAAGGTTTTAGTTCACTGGCACACTGGTGTTTTGGGTTTCTGTCATGCTGAAGTTGAGGCCCAGCCTCTGGGGAAGCCAATCAATAACTGAAAATGATAATGCTGTTTTTTTTCTTCCTATTTCTTAAAAACTTGACTTTTAGATCCTGTTCATTTGCTGTAGGTGTTTTGTTTTTTAGGCCCACCACTTCGATCTCCGCTTGTCTAGTTTTCTCAACCTTTGTTAAGGACACACTGCACACCGTGCTGAGCTATGTCAGGATTTCTCTGGAAATCACCTTGTTGGTGCAAAAGTAGTACTTTATTTCTGTCAGACTGAGTTATTGTTGGCATTTCTTTGTAGATTCAGCTAAAGAAATAGGAACGAATTATGTGTTTTCACAACAGGCCTAAAGACACATTTTAAAATGAGTTCTTTGCTAAATTATCTGTTATGTGTCATCCCCTGATTTATGTGCTTTTTTTCATATACTTGAATGATACAATTCAGCGTTAAGTGGCTTTTAAAAAAGCCCTTCAGAAAGCTTGG